ACGGAGCCTCATGTGAAAAGACCTCTCACAAGGGATTATACAATAAGAGCGAAACTTTCGTAGTTTCATTAAAACATATTTCCTATATCTTTAACTAGCTGATATACCCATCGTTGACGGGTGTATAGTTAAAATTTGAGAATCTTTTTTTGAGATGGATATTGTACTATGGAGGAGGGGTTAATTTCATAACATTGGGTGAGGGGGGGGAGAGGTAATTTTAATTTTTAGAAGATTTTCTTCCGATTTCCAGCTGATCCGTCAGGTTAATCCTAAAAATGTATAAGACAACATTTGTTAGGCTCGGGAAGTTAAATAGAATAACACCTTAAACGGGAATATCGGACAAAGATAAAAAATGAGTGTGGTTTAAGCGGCAAAGCGTTACAGATGTTTGGTATTTCGGATTTTTCCCGTTGAGTTAGTTACATCTATATTGTAAAAAATCCATTAGGGCAATAGGAATCAACTCTAATAGAACTATTTATAATCGACTCAAGCAGTACTTGACATATGTAGAAAACATACTCAAAATAGGTAGAAGTACAGCAGCACTTAGAGGAGATTTTGAAGAGTTTCAAAAGGAAGCGGAGTACTAATGAAGGAAAAACAAAATATTTATAATCGATTAGGAACCATCATCTGGAACTCCACGATTTGCAGATTGGCAAATGCAAATTTAGAAGTACAGGCACTTTTAATTATCTTAGTTCTGTTATAACAGATGGCAATAGAATTAAAGAGGAAGTGAATGTGTGGCTGTGTGTAATTAAGAAGTGCCGTAACAAAAGACATTAAAGTTTAAAACTCTTTCAAAAAAGGCAAAACTTATGACTTATGAAACCTTCCTGAGACCCACAGTAACGTTATTGAAGATTACTGTTGAAAAAGAAGTCTTAGGTTAACGTGTTCAGTTTTAGTATTTATTTTTTTATCTTTATGATCTTGAAATGAAAATAGATTTTTATTATCCTGGGACTTTTGTCCCTTTAGGACAAATTATAGATACAGAGGAAATGCCTGTGTGGCCATAAAATTAAATTAAATATTTACAATGGTCATTAAAATAAAAATATTGGAAGAAAAATAAAACAAAACCACTAAATACATACAGATATATACAATACAAACATGTGAAAATAAAATAACATAACTAAACAAAACCATTTCTGGGAGAATTTAAGAAGTTCTCTTACCTACTTTTCATTATCAATCGGGTTGGGAAAGGAGTAAGTGGTTAAAAAAGAGGGATTTAAATGAGGAAACTGATTGCGCATGTCGGATATCGGGAGGGATGGTATTCCAGGTGGAGACGGCTTGAATTATAAAGGATTTGTCAAACGCAGCAGTTCGGTGAGGAGGTGGATAGAGGTCAGAAGTACGGGATCTAGAGGGACGGGATTGAATGGAATATTTAAATTGTAGGCTGTGAAAAATATAGGAAGGTCGCTGAGTTCTGATGGCTTGGTATAGAAATGTATTTTATTAATCTTGATGTATTTATTTTAGATACTTCTCTCATCAAAATAAAACAACAAAAATACTAGAAATGGTTATAAACATGTTCATTAAAGTTTCTTATTCCTTTTGTTTTGTTTATCTTGTAATCGCCCTATGTATCCGTCATTTAAGAAATCGGTAATTAACAGGTGGGTTATACTAAATGTCTTAGAATTAAGAGGGGGTGGGGCAAGACATAAGGAAAACGGTATAAAGCTGCGTTCCTTCCACGGCTTTTTTAATTTACTAATCTGAAGGTTGATTTCTCATCTATATCCTTTTCAGTCTTCTGGAATTCTCCGGTAAGAGAGTTGTTTGGAATGTACGTTCAACTTTGCAAGAGACAGTCTGTAGAATTTGCCCATATGTGCTCATTGACCGTTGGTATGTCATGTGTAAATCAGTACGTAGTGTTGTTGTTTACGTAACATAGTGCGTCGGTAATTAATCTTAATGTCTTAGATTGAAATCTTTAAGTTTTATGTGTATGTTGTGACATGTGTAGTGCGTACGTCTGTGCTTTATTTGATTTGGATGTCCATCTGAACAGTGAGTATAATCAACTTTGTGAGGGACTTTTTAATAGAAAACATTTTTAGGCGCGTTTTGTACTTTTTTTTTTTTTGGAGAGTGAATTAGATTGAGCCGTTAAATCTCCGATGTGTAAAGCTCGGATAAAATTGGCTGGAGTAGACTAATTGAAGTGTTTTTTGTATATGAATTAAATTTTCTGAAAAACTAAAAATCGGACCTCTATATTGTTAGTGAGAGAAACGAATATTTTTCAATTCATCCTTTCTGTAACGGGCTATTATTTAAAACTAGTAGGCCTGTGCGAAAAATTCGCACAGAAAATTGTTATCAAATGCCAAATTTATAAGAAAATAATGCAACGTTTCAAAAGCTAAAGAAATCAATTGTTACTTTATCGATAAATAAAATCGACAAAGGAAACAAAAATTAATTTAAATTTCATTATTGTTTGGAAGCAACATGTTTACAAATTTCAATAAGTTGTATCTTTGCAAAAAAGTGTCCGATTTCGATGATTTATTTTCCCTTTTGCAGGGAATTTAGTAATATTTCATATAGTCATGGGCATAACCAAGGGAAATGTGTGTAATTTTTTATTTATTCGCAAATAAAGTTTGTTTTCTTTCATAACTAGTTTGCCTGAATTTTAGGGGTGATTGGACTATTTTGCCCGCCTGAAGGAGAAGGAAGCCTTCAAAATTGGTGGCTCAATCTGAAGATTTGGTGAAGAATTAACTTAATTAACGTGAAGAATATGGCTTGCAGATCAAAACCACCATCGATAAATAATATAAACTCCTCCTCTCTCGATCATAGAGACCTCAAGTCGGCGAATTGAGACATGTATTCAAAGACAGTACTACAATTAATGTAAGGTTATGTGGATACGAACCATATGCCTTGCGTTATCTAGAAAATAGTAGGTTTTTGGGCTTAAAAACGCAGGATTCGATAGTTCCTGAGGAACTATCGGGGTCTTGCTGTATGCCTGTGTACGCTGTAAGCATGACAGTAGCTTATATTTGTTACAAAACCGATTTCGAGCCTTACTGTAATAATATATGTGGGGATTTGGGGATTGAATCTAAACGCGAAGCCATATTAAGGTTGTGAAAAGGAGAAATAGTGTCAAAAACCTAATGATAACTAGTTTTATTGAAGATATGGATTAAAATATCTTAGAAACTAAAAATCGAACCTGCATACTGTAAGCGAAGTGTTCATCATTTCATCCTCTTTATAATGAGCTATTATTTATAATTCATATTTCATATTATTAATCTTACCTTGGTAATGTTTTCAGTTATATCCTCTAAAGCAATAAGTAATCTAAAGCACACAACGTTTTTTTTTAATACATATATATATATATACATATATATATATATATATATATATATATATATATATATATATATATATATTTCTCTTTCCGTTAATCTGCACGAACCTCTATTGAATCTTTGTTGATTCGATCTATCTATTTGTTTTTTTCCCTTCCTGAAGGATTTCTTCGCCCATATCCCTCTCATCTTATCATTCTTGCCATTATATCATGAGATATAAACTGACCGTTTACTGTAAGAAGTGTTACTTTTCTTTCATACTTCAGTACTCTGATCCATGGGTGCCCATCCCTCCCAAAGTCAATGGCGCAAGAACGTACCTGCCCCCCTTCTCCCAAGATATTTTATTGCTTACCTTATCTTGAGAACAGAAGAAGATATAAAAAAATGGTAGATTATATACAATTACACCTGATCCTGTCTGTTCTATGTTTCCAACTTGTACGTTAGTCTGAAAATACGTAACCCCATCGAAATTTGTTCCCCTCAAAAATTAAAAAAAAATCCGTCAAAATATGTCCCCCCCCTCAAATATTTTGATGGCGCAACGCCATGAAACCCTCTTCTGGACACCACTGCTCTGATACCAGTTATCGTGCTCACGATTTTCTTCTTGAATCTTTCAATAGTTTCGTGTAGGTGTTTGTTAGTGTTAATGTCTCGCAACTGTTTATCAGAACATATCATTAGTGTTTATTATACCAATAATTCGAGATTTCTTGATATTTTTTGGAATTTCATTTTTTTTTTTTTTTGTGAGAAAATGATTCACTATCACTTGTTACTGAGATACATTATCAAAGTCATCATTTTCAGTTATTGAAAAATTCAGTTCGGGAATTTTCCTTATGCTGGGATGTTATTATTTTTGTGGTTATAGTTATATAATAAGGCGAAAGAATCTTAATACCGTCGGTCGGTCGGTCCGAAACTCATCAGTCTCTCTTCCATGTACATTAAGAAGATTTCAAGTACTTGAGATCGCAATTCCCGCGATTAAGTGAATCCAATTTATTCATATAAACAAACAATGCTTACTGTAATTTTATAGAATATATGCAAAAATCTTTATGATTTCCTTTAGAAAATTGAGAGCATAATATATGTATCAGATATGCATATTACTTATCTTGGAAACAGAAGCTAATAAAATAATTTCATTGTCATATTCCTGTTTCACTTGTGAAATAATAATTTGTAAATCCCAAAGCTATCAGATGAGGAGATTTCCATTCTAGTAAAATACAATAAAAAATTGAATTACGAATTCACACGCGCCTTCTTTTATTATTTTAATAAAATTTTTATTATTTTAATATAACCAATCTTTGTATCTTAACGAAATTGGACAAACATGCCATTAAATTTGCATATAGCTTATCTTTGTAAGTTGAAGGCAATGGAATAAAAAAATAACATAGTTGTGGAAATTATGATTATAAAGAATCAATTTTTTTTAAACACATTTAATGAAATTTACAACTAGTAAATTTAAAATTAGTAACGTGGTTAGTACAACATGTAGAGAAACTCCCCATTAGTAGTACTCCAATAATAGTTCTACAGCAAAGGGTCCCGAGGCCATCTTCTTTTCAGACGCCTGGGATGGTTATCAGGAATAGGTGAGAAAGCAAGATTAGAAACAGGAGGGTTCGGATGGTTCAGAAGGATAGGTATATGGATTGGGCCAAGGAGCATTCAGGATTTTACGAAGGATTTTGGATTGTAAAGATTGGATACGATAGGGATTCCATGGTTTAGTAGAGCACCAAAGCTCGATTTCGTAAATCCAAATAGGCCTTATTATAGTCATATGTATTAAAACGCCTAAACCACTTTCGTCACTTATTTTCCTTTGAAACCCGAAGACTCCTGGTCACTTCCTTAATTTTTCCCCACTTTGACGATGTCTGTACGGTATATGGGGGGCCTCTCTGGGGACTTGAGGAAAAATTAAAACGTTTGATTTAATTGCTTTGTACGATTCATCTTCGGGATCCCAAGGGACGCTTCTGTTTCCCGTTTTTATGCATAGTTGAAGTGGCTTTATCATTCCTACCATCGTATTTCCTGGCATCCTTCCTTTTTTAAGTCAACCAATCCCACCGTCCTTCTTACATCTCCGAGCTCCTTCAATTCAAATCCTCTGTTCGTTCCCGCAATACTCGTTCCCGGTCTTCTGATTTATACACAAGGGCCTATCGAACCAGACAGATCGTTCATTATCCGATCCTCATCCTTTTGGGACTACATCCCTTCCGACATCCGTCAATCCAAAACTCTTCCTACCTTTAAAACCCGCCTGTTCAATCATTTCTTATCCATCCAGTCCCTATAAAATTGCAATTAGTTACTACTGTGAATATGTATATAAATTATCAGATCGTTCATCATTATTTTCACTCCATGTTTATTTTAATTTTTTTTATAATTAACTGATTTAAATTAGAAACTAAATTATAATTTCTTTTATTATTTTTCTTATTTTGACTATTCACTTACTCTATATTTTTGTTTATGTATCTCGTCGGACTCGTCTCAGAATAAATAAAGCATTATTATTGTTATTATTATATATAAGTGTTTTGTAAATAATTGAAAGTTTAGAACGTTTATCTAGTAATTGCTGGAGTAGTCGAAAAGGTCGAGCGGTTTCTTGTCGTTTCAGTTTGGTATGAGGATTCCAAGTGCTCATCATCATCACTTGAAACTCTTGAGATGCCTGAAGGTTCTTAGCTTGTTTAAGTTAAGAATCTGAAACTCCGAATACTTCTCAATCCGTTGATATATATATATATATATATATATATATATATATATATATATATATATATTATATATATATATATATATATATATATATATATATATATATATATATATTTTAAATATAATATTTTATTGCGAAAAAAATACATTTTGCCTCAATTAAGGGTATTGAGTATTTAGGATGAATGAAACACAAACATACCATATATACAATAAAGGAAAAACAAGATTATAACAAAATAAAAAAAAAACTTGGAGTAACAGAATAAATCAAACATGATACAACATTAAATAAATAAATAAAAACACATTCATACTTATTTATACTATTTACAGTCAGCCGAGGGAGCTCCGAGTCGGGCATTTTTCCCCACGTGTGGAGGACAAGACAAGACTCCTAGAGATCCCAGTGCTTCTCTCTCAGCCGCATAACTAGGATGGGAATCCAATGGAGTCTAAGAGAGAACACTAAAGCCACATAAGCTCATGATTTGAGTGGAGAAGCTGGCCATCGGGAGGACTCCAATGACGTCTTTACAAAAGATCTCGAGGCCACTGCCGCTTCAACCTTCGAGGAGGATTGTAGGGATGACTGGAACTGGATAAGGATTGTGCTAAGGGATTAGGATGATGGATTAGGTTCTGATGAAAATTTGAAAATCGGGATGGAATAACGTCAAGGACATAAGGGATGTTAAGGTCATGATATAAGGTTTTGTTCGTTACATAATAAGGAGCACTGACTATTATACGGAGGACTTTAGACTGGAAGGATTGGATGCGTTTGATGTTTGAAAATTTAGTTGTCCCCCACAGTCAGAGCCCGTAGGTCCAGATTTGTTTCAGTATGGCCTTGTATATTAATAGTTTGTTTTCAATTGAGAGGTTAGATTTTCTGTTAAGTAGTCTGTACAACTGGCCAAGTCGTCAGTTAAGCTCTTGTGATATTAAATGAACAGATTTTTTTCTGTGTCTGGCATTTAAACTAGCATTAAATGCCCTGTCCTTGGATATCTGATGGGGGTCATTTTTTCTTAAATTTTTTAAACCTGACCAGACCTTGGGCAAAAACAGCTCCAGAGATCCCACCTACGCTACAATCTCATTTGAGTCAACATTATATTTGCAATGTGCTTTTCAATAATAGTTATTGAATGAAATTTATAGAAATGTTTCCAACTATTGATAGTAAACATTTCGGAGTTACTTCTAATAAAATGAGAAAATTTTCATGTACTTTTTTTTTTTGTGTATATCTCAGCAAACCAATTTTATCTGCAAACATCAAATTAGGAATCAACACTTTTAAAACATATGGAACCACAGTGAAAACGAATAATTGAATTGTCTCTTGTGAGTACTATTTGGCTGAACCTAATTTGTGACTTTGACGCTATCAATCAAGGTGATATCTCATCAAATTCGTAGAGAAATGAACCGTCAAATTTTGTTACTTCAATTTCATACAAAGCACTAGCGGATCCAGGATTTAATTTTGGGGGGGGGGGGGGCTTGAGCCCGAAACCTTTTTTTAAAATAAAAATAACGGTAATTACTTTGGAAAAACAGAAACAAAATAACTACCTATATGAAATGGTGTTTAAGTTATTCCTTAAGTACTATTAAATGTAATTACACGAAGAATAATACTTTAAGAGGTATTTTTTAAATTTTTTCCCCATAAAACATGGTTATATTTTTCCATTTTGGGGGGGAGGAGGCTTCAGCCCGAGAAAGCCCCCCCCCCCTTCCCCGTAGATCTGCCCGTGATACAAAGCAACATATTTCAATCGATTGATTATATTTGTATGTTCAGGTGACGCAGATGTGGCCATTCATCCTCGAATCTCCTCCTTCCTCTCCCCAAGATTTTTAATTACTCTTCTCTTCCTAAAATCAGTGCAAGCTATAGTAGAATTTTAAAAACCATAGTTCATATAAAATTACACTCTTAGTTGTCTATTATATGCTTTCAATTTGTCTCTTTTTTTTTCTTGCCCCCTGTTTTGAAATTTTCGTTTCAAAAAATCATAACCCAGTTGGAATTTTCCCCTCTCAAAATTTTTGGTGGGCACTCCTGAGGTGAGGAATATCTAATAACAGATAAATAGATCGAATCAACAAAGATGCTTAAAAAAAATATATATAATATGATGTTGTTATTAGTCATAAAAATAATATCTTGAATATGGTTGTAAATTTAAAAAACAAACCTTGGTTTTGTGATGAATGAGAATGTGTGAAACGTTGTTACTTGAATTTTTAAAAAAATAAATTATGATAAAAAAAAGTTTAAATATTTCTTCTGGAAGAAAATAAATTTCTTAAACGATTGCATTGGTCGTTCAGGAATCGCAATATATGTCTTCGAGACGCTTCGGATTCCAACCTATATAATAAAAGAGGAACAAGATCTTGAATGGATCGGATGATTGATATCAACCCATGTATAGGTCAGCAATTTGAGTCGGCGGGTGAATCGGACCGGTTTTAAATGTCAGTTGTTTTGGAGATACTCTTCATGTTGTAACCGTTGTGGATATTACAGAGGAGAACAATACTGCTCTGGATATAACTTTGTTAACTTTGTTTTGTTTTTTTATTAAAGAAATTTACAATTGTATTAAATAATAAATACAACAAGTAAATATAAACAAGTAACATGTACAACATGAAGAGAAACTACCCATTGGTAGCACTCCAATTATATTTCTATATTAGAAGGCACCGAGGCCATCTTCTTTTCAGATGCCTCGGAGGGTTATCAGGAATAGAAGAGGAAGGAAGGTTGGAAACGAGGGAGTTCGGATTTTCTAGTCACATCCTTCGGGTTTGGTGCCATTTTCTCATAATTTAACATATGTCTATTTTAGGCCATAGGTTACCAAAAAAACACAGTTTTATTTATTTATTTCCTGTATGTTTATTCAACGTTTCGGCTTCAGGAGCTATTTTCAAGAACCTGCAAAACATGCACCGCGCCATAAAATATTTAAAATTTGTCATTACGATATGATTCGTCCTAATTCATTCTTTTATTTCAAAGAATGTCGTTTTCCGTTTCTCTATTTGCAGACGGTATCAAAAAAGTATTATTCTTCAATAGGGCATTCATACAGGACTGATAGAGAAATAGATAAATAGAGAAACGGAAAACGACATTCTTTGAAATAAAAGAATGAATTAGGACGAATCATATGGTAATGACAAATTTTAAAAATTTTATGGCGCGGTGCATGTTTTGCAGGTTCTTGAAAATGGCTCCTGAAGCCGAAACGTTGAATAAACATATAGGAAATAAATAAAATAAATGTGTTTTTTTTGGTGACCTATGGCCTAAAATAGACATATGTTAAATTATGAGAGTTCGGATGGTTCAGAAGTTTATTATGAAAGGACAGGTATCTGGATTGAGCTAAATCGAAAACATATGGTACATTAAGGTCATTATGGATGATTTTATTTGTGACAAAGTAAGGAGCATTAAAGATTTTACGAAGGATTTTGGATTGTAGGGATTGGATACGAGAGGAATTTGATGGTTTAGTAGAGCCCCAAAGCTCAATATGAAATATAATTATAAATAATAGCTCATTATAAAGTGGGTGAAATACTAAACAATTCCCTCGCTTACAGTATGCAGGTCCGATTTTAAATATATGAGATATTTTAATCCATATCTTCAATAAAAATTTGTTTTATAATACGGCGTCGCGTTAAGGCGCAATGTTGAATAATAGCTCATTATAAAGAGGACAAAATGCTGAACATTTCGTTTGCTTACAGTATGCAAGTCCGATTTTTGATATCTGATATATTTTAATATATATCTTCCTTAATTTCGTTTCCAACACTATTTTTCCCTTTTCGTTTTTCTAACACTGCGTCGCGTTAACATAAACTTTTGAATAGTAGCCCATTAGGGAGGATGAAATGTTGAACATTTCTCTCCCTTACTGTATGCAAGTCCGTTTTTTAGTTTCTGAAATATTTGAAAGAATATCTTCCAGAAAGCTCGTGATCATTTCGTTTTCAACACTATTTTTTCCTTTTTCGCCTTTTTGAAATTGTATCTTAACGCGACGCCGTGTTAGAGAACTGAAAAGAGGAAAAATAGTGTCGAAAACCAAATGATTAGTAGTTTTAATGAAGATGTAGATTAAAATATCTCAGAAATTAAAAATCAGACTTGCATACCGTAAGCGAGAGAAATGTTCAACATTTCATCCTCCGTAATAGACTATTATTCAAAAGTTTATGTTAACGCGACGCCGTGTTAGAGAGGCGAAAAGGGGAAAAAATAGTGTTGGAAACGAAATTATTACGAGTTTTAAGGAAGATATATATTAAAATATATCAGATATCAAAAATCGGACTTGCATACTGTAAGCGAGAGAAATGTTCAATATTTCATCCTCTCTATATTGAGCTATTATTCAAAATTGTATTTTAACGCGACGCCGTATTAGAAGAGCGGAAAGGGATAAATATTGTTGAAAACGAAATGATTACGAGTTTTATGGAAGATATGGATTAAAATATTTCAGAAACTAAAAATGAGACTGCATACTGTAATCGAGAGAAATGTACAACATTTCATCCTCTCTATACTGAGCTATTATTTAAAACGTCTCGTTAAGATGCAATTTTAGATAATAGCTCAGTATAGAGAGGATGAAATGTTGAACATTTCTCTCGATCACAGTATGCAGTCTCATTTTTAGTTTCTGAAATATTTTAATCCATATCTTCCATAAAACTCGTAATCATTTCGTTTTCAACAATATTTATCCCTTTCCGCTCTCTCTAATACGGCGTCGCGTTAAAATACAATTTTGAATAATAGCTCAATATAGAGAGGATGAAATGCTGAACATATCGTTTGCTTACAGTATGCAAGTCCGATTTTTGATATCTGATATATTTTAATATATATCTTCCTTAAAACTCGTAATAATTTCGTTTCCAACACTATTTTTTCCCCTTTTCGCCTCTCTAACAC